GCGGGGCGAGCGCGGGGAGCGGCGGCGGCGCGGCCCGCGTGACCCTCCGCCCGCGCCCGTGAGCCCGCGTCCCGCTGCGCCAGGCCCCGCGGCAGGATGCGCGCCCCGCCGCTGCCGCTGCTGCTGCTGCTGCTGCTGCTGGCCGCCTGCGGGCCGCCGCCCTGCGCCGCGGCCGCCCCGACGCCCCCAGGCTGGGAGCCGGCGGCCGACGCGCCCTGGTGCCCCTACAAGGTGCTGCCCGAGGACGCCGAGGCGGGCGCCGGGCGCCTGTGCTTCCGCAGCCCCGTGCGCGGCTTCCGCTGCCAGGAGCCCGGCTGCGCGGTGCACACCGCGGCCGGCCACTCGCTGCGCGCCAGCGTCCTGCGCAACCGCAGCGTGTTGGTGCAGTGGCGCCTGCCGCCGGCCCGGGCGCGCCGCGTGCGCGCCTTCATGCTCGACTGCTCGTGGCGCGGCGCCTACACGCGCTTCCCCTGCGAGCGCGTGCTGCTCGGCGCCTCCTGCCGGGACTACCTGCTGCCCGACGTGCACGAGGGCGTGCGCTACCACCTGTGCCTGCAGCCGCTGCCGCTGCACGCCGAGCACGCCGCCGCCGAGGCCTTCGGGCCCGCGGAGTGTGTGGAGTTCGTCGCGGAGCCGGCCGGCATGCGGGACATCGTGGTGGCCATGACGGCGGTGGGCGGCTCCATCTGCGTCATGCTCGTGGTCATCTGCCTGCTCGTGGCCTACATCACGGAGAACCTCATGCACCCGGCCTTCGGGCGCCCGGGCCTGCGCAGGCAGCCGTGAGCCGGAGGCGGCCGCGGGCGCTCTGTCTACCGACCAGTGCGTGCGTGCGAGGCCTCAGCCCGCCCTGCCCTCCGTTCCTGCTCCCTCCCTAGGCTGTCCGCGCAGGGCCCGCTGGAGATGGAGAGGGCGCAGGCCTGCGCCAGGACCTTGGAGTCATCCCACCACTTCGCCAGCCAGCTGTCCGCTTCCCAGAATCCAGTTCGAGACTGGCCCTTGGGCCTGTGGAGGGGTGCGGGCCGCAACCAGGGCCCTTCCCCTTCTCCAGAGGCCTTTGTAGGGACTGTCAGGACATGGAGCGCCTTGTAGCCAGAGCCATTGGCACCCCGGGTCGTCGCCTGCACCTCCAGCCTGTGCCAAGTTGGAAAACCCAGGCCGTCTTCATTGCTTGGTTCCTGTGCGCTTTGCTGCTCCAGGCCCCCTTGGACCTTGTCCTCCTCCACCCCACCCCGTGGGCTTAGGTTAGCCTTGTGCCTTAGTCTCCCCGGCCCAGTGTGGGAGCCAGCCACGCCTTCCCGTGCAGTCCAAGCGGATCTGTGGTCCCCAGATTGGCGGGCTGGGCTGTGTGCGCTTTGGGCCAGAGTCCCCCTGGTTACCCCCCTTCAAGCTGTGCAGGAGCCTCGTAAACAGTGCTCCACGGTGTGTCCCTGCGGGGGTGTCTGCCCAGCTGGGAGCCGGGGTGCGGTTCAGCAGGTGGGGCCTGGCCTCCAGCTGCTCAGGGGTGAGTTCCTCTGACCTTAGGGGGAAGCTGGCAGTTCTCCAGGCGGGGAGCCCCCCTTTTCGTTTTGCAGTGCTGCCTCTGATGAGGACTTCCTGTGGTAAGTGTGGGCAGATGGCTGGGAAGAAGGGGCCTGGTCTGAAGGGGCAGCATTGGGTCCGGAAGGCAGACTAGGTGCCAGCCTTGCCCAGCTGGACCTTGCACTGTGGTCTGGATCCCAAGCCGCCACCACAGCATGACCGACAGGACGCCCCACCTCCTTCTGCGCTGGGGCCGGGAGCCCAGGATTGGCCAGGGATGCTGCTGCCCACACACCCGCTGTGGCCGGAAGGCTGGCCGGGCCCCTCTCCAGGCAGACCCGCGCGCCCTCGCTGAGGCTTCTTCCTGCGCTGACCACCTGGCAGTGCCCGGTGCCAGGAGGGGTGCGGCGTGCCTGCCCTCCGCGTGAGCCCCTGACTGTGACCACCTGGATCTGGCACTTCTGGAGTCACTGTGGCTAACCCTTCTCCCCCTTGCCCTCGCCCCAGCGGCTACCAGCAACCCCAGGCGCTGGCTGGTGCCCCCACAGTGCCCGCTCCCTACCTCTGCCTTCGCTCTGCCCGCCCCTGGTGTGCTGCTGGTCAGGTGTGAGCCTGGTGCCAGCGTCTAAATGTCCATCGTCCTTAGACTCAAACCACTGCCTTGTGTGCTTATTTGGGAGGTGGGGGGAGGGGTGGGGGGAGCTGGGCCCGTCTTCCCAGCTCCTGGAGCAGCACCAGCAGCCCAGTGGCTGGCCCTGGAGCCTTTGCCTGGTCAGGTCCGGCCAGCCCCAGGCTGGGTGCCCAGCCCCTGCCCTTGAAGCAGAGACAGGCAGGCTGTGCACCCTCAGACGGGAAAACATCTGGCCCTGCAGTGCAGGGTGTGGGGCTGGGGGGCAGCACCTGCTGCAGGGAGAAGTGGCCAGGCTCAGTGAGCGCTGGAGCTGACAGGCAGCTATTGGGAGCTCTAGGAAGGGCCCCCTCCCTACCTGCCCCCCATGCAGGGCTAGAGCTGGGCGGGGGGACAAGGGTAACCGCGGGGCTCCGTGTGACATGCACTAGCTCGCCACCCACCCTCACTCTGGGCCCTCCCCCACCTCGTCCGTCCTTGAGATCCTGGAGCTGCTGTGACCCTGAGGAGCAAAATCCAGCCAGGAAGGGGGGGGGGCAGGCTCTGGAGTGACTCATCCTCTAGGGGAGGAGGAGGGGTGCAGCCATGTGGGGGGGGCAGGGTTCCACTTCCAGCAGCCAGATGGCGAGCCTGTCTCAGGCCACCTGTGAAGGACACTCAAGTGTCGTCTTCTTTAGGGGGCAGGGGGAGCCCCCTCAGTCCCTGTCAGGCCCCCTGGCGTCCATCCTCTAGTTCCGGGTGCTGGAGCCACGGGGTTCCCTGCTGTCTGCCCTCCTGGCCCTCCACCTGACTTGGGCCCTGGTTATGGGCTCAAGCCCACCCGCTAGAACCATAGACCTGTCCAGCCCCCAATGGGGAGGCTGGTCACCCTGACCCGCAGCCTTCTCCAGAGGTGGGAGTGCAGGAATCTGTTCCAGGGGCTCATGGAGGCTGGAGGCACCACCTGCCCAGAGCGGTCAGCTGGGCCTGGGAGACCGCCTGCACCTGGTGGCCAGCCAAACACGTATGCTCCCAAGCTCACCGCCCCTCCTCCCCCCGCCCAGGGTCCACCATCCTCCCAGGCTCCGCCCCCCAGCCCCTCTGATCCACCTGGTCCAGACCCCACCAGCCCCACCTGCCCCGGGAGCCTCCCCACCCCCTCCTCCCTCTGCTCTTCTGCGGCCACTCCCACTGGGACTGCGCTGGTGGTGACCTGCTGCTCACCTGTGACCCTCCCGGCTTCCTGTGCCCTGGAGGTGGGTCCAGGTGCCTGGCCTGTGGTGGAGGCTTCACCTGCCTGGCTGGTGCCTGCAGATACTGAAGCTCATTCTCTGACACGGATAGAAATAACCGCTCGGGTAGGAACACCGAAGGGCCTGTTTCCTCATCTGTAAGGTGGAGGCGGGAAGGGGGCCGGTCACGGGCCTACGGGAGACCGCCACGGGGGCCATCATTACTGCTGTCCATGCGGCCACTTGAGGTGCCCTCCAGGCCAATACCCAGGGCTGTGTTCCAGCCTCACCTGCTGGAGCTCCAGGCGTGAGGCCCTTCTTGAAATCCCCACTACGATGGCCAGACTCCCTGCTCACCCCGACCTGATCCATGGCACGTTCCTCACCACAGTCATTCTGTGACCACGTGACGGACACATGGCCCCCAGCTGGCCCTGACCGGGCACACAAGCCCACAACCCGGGCATGGGCCCTGACTGGGAATCAAACCATGACCTCCTGGTTCATAGGTCAATGCCCAACCACTGAGCCACGCCGGCTGGGCCACAGGGGTCTTTGTCTGTCTTCTGGGCATCTTTCTGGCGTGCCTTCCTTACTGTAGGGATGCTACTGTGCTTTTTAAAAAAATATATATATATATTTTTATTGATTTCAGAGAGGAAGGGAGAGAGAGAGAAACATCAACAATGAGAGAGAATCACTGATCGGCTGCCTCCTGCACACCCCCTACTGGGAATCGAGCTTGCAACCCAGGCACGTGCCCCCGGCCAGAATCGAACCTGGGACCCTTCAGTCCGCAGGCTGACGCTCTATCCACTGAGCCAAGCTGGCTAGGGCAGCTACTGTGCTTCTTACTCTCTTTTTTCTGACACTGAGTCTGAGGGATGGTCGCAGCTCTGCTGCCTCATACACTAGGATGCAGGATGTAGACCTGCCTGCTCCTGCCCACAGCCCCCGGCAGCTGCTGGATCCCCAGGTTCACCCCATGGTCTGGGCTCTGGGCACATGGAGGGGCCACTCAGGCCTCAAAGGAGAAGCCAGTGTCATCTTTGCTGGACGTGTGAGGACCTCACAGTCCCAGGGGCTAAACTGGAGGGGCTGGGGGGACACAGCACAGCAGGCAGGATTAGGGACAAACAGGAACAAGTTCTCAAGGACGGGCAGGGCTGGCGGCTCCCTGATGACCTCAGGAAGGGGTCAGTACTGCTGGGTTCGGTCGTCAGGGATGGCTGGTGAGCTGCTGGAAACCCTGGCCTGGCGGACAAGTGGTTTGGCCACCGCAGCCTGAGTCTAGACAGCCTCCCCCACCCTCACCACATCTCTTGGGACTGGGCAGGTGTCCTCAGTGATGATGGCCAAGGGGGGGAGTGGTGGCCCCACTCCAGGGAGGGGACCAGGCTGCACCTTCTGAGGACAGGACGTAAGAGCCACATCCAGACGTGTGGCCCTTGAAATCCCCACTCCAGTGGCCCGACTCCTGCTCACCCCAAACCTGATCCACGGCAGGCTCCTCACTTACCAACAGGGTGACCCACAATCATTCTGTGAACACATGACGGACGCCTCCTCTGTTACGCCTGCGTCTCATCCTCCTTTAGAAATCTGTCCTTTATTCCTAAGTTGTACCAGTGGTCTCTTTTAGAAAAATATATTTTTATTGATTTCAGAGAGGAAGGGAGAGAGAGAAACATCAACAATCAGAGAATCATCCATCTGCTGCCTCCTGTACGCCCCACACTGGGGATCAGGCCCACAACCTGGGCATGTGCCCTGATCAGGAATCGAACCATGACCTCTTGGTTCATAGGTCAACGCTCAATCATTGAGCCATGCCAGCCGGCTACCAGTGGTCTTTCAAATCTTCATTTTTTCCAATGATTTCAGTAAAAAGAAATCTTCCCCATTTCTAATGCAGGATGCTCTGTCATAACTTTTACCATTTCTCTAACTCCGTTTAGCTCCCGATGAAATATCCGGTTAAAATTTTTGGATTTTCTGAGTTTCGTTCTGGCGTGCCTTATCTGTAGAGATGTTAACCAGCCATCATGGCTCAGTGGTTGAGCATCAACCTATGAACCAGGAGGTCACGGTTCAATTCCCAGTCGGGGCACACACTTGGGTTGTGGGCTTAATTCCCAGTGGGTGGCGTGCAGGAGGCAGCCGATCAATGATTCTCTCATTTATGTTTTTCTCTCTCTCTATCCCTTCCTCTTTGAAATCAATAAAAATATTTTTTTTTAAAAGAGAGATATTACTATGCTTCTTTTTTTCTGATAGTAAGTCTGAGGGATGCGACCGCTACTCTGTCCTGTCTCATACAACACAGAGCATTTGCCTAAGCTCCTAGGTGGGGTGTGGTGGGCGGCGATAGCACCCTAACTTCCCAGCTCTGCCGTTGGGAATTTACTACAAGGCCTCCGTGTCTGGGATGGGACGCGCCACCCACCCCCACCCCTACCCCGTCTCCTCTTCCTTGGCCCAGTGTCTGTCCTGCTCGCTTGGATTCTCGTCTGACAGATTCTCCCCTGCGGTTCCCTTCTTCCCCATCAGCAGCCATTCTGATGCATCCTCACATCCATGTTTTACCATTTACCTCAAACGTCGTGTTGCTGATCTTTTTATTTTTTGAAAGGTTTTTTATTGATTTTTAGAGAGAGAGAAAGGGAGGAGAGAAACATCAATGTGAGAGTGAAACATCAATCAGTTGCCTTCTGCACGCCCCCTACTGGGGATGGAGCCTGCAATCTGGGCATGGGCCCTGACCGGGAATCAGAATGGCAACCTTTTGGTGCGTGAAACAACACCCACCCAACTGAGCCACACCAGCCAGGGCTCTTGCCACACGTCTGAGGCCTCCATGTCGCCGTGCACACAAATACTTCCTTCCCCGTCCTTGCACAGGTTTCCCGCGTGCCCCTCCTCCGCACGTACTTGTCCTCACGCTGGGAGGACACAGGCAGCTGCACTGTTATCACGACGTTCCATGAAGACCCTCCACCGTCCTCCTCAGGGACCTTCGTGAGGATTTCCCTTGGTGGGGGACGATGGGTCTCCGGGGTGTGCCGACTTCCTTCTGCCAATACTGCCAGTTCGTTCTTCATGGCTAAGGCAGTGGGCACCCCTCCATTTCCCATGAGCACCGGCGGCATTCCGTTCTCTAGCTCCCGCCCATCCGTTGGCTGTGTAGCAGAAACCCAGTATTATTTGAATTTGCTTTTCTCTAATTACCGAGAGGTTGGGCGTCGCTTCTGGTTCTCGTTCGTCCCTCTCGTGTCCCCTGGGACACACTGCTTATTCAGGTCTTCTGTACGTTTTTCCATTGCAGTGACTTTTCCCTCTTGATTTTCAAGAGTTCCATGAATATTCTGGATCAGCACCGTGCAACAGGCCTTTCTGGGATTGTCCTCATCTACACTGTACTAGTTTCTGAGGGCCGCCGTACGGAATTACCAACAAACTAGGAGGCTGAAAACACGAGGAATGTGTTCTCACAGGCGGCAGGGTGGGGACCTGCTGGAGGCTCTGCAGGGAAAGCTGCTTCGTGCCCCTCGCCACCTTCGGGACCTGCTGGCAACCTTGGGTCCTTGGCCTGTGGACACATCGCTCCAGTGTCCAAGGGTGCAGAGCCCACGGTCCTCTCGTCCGAGCATCTCCTCTGCCTCTGTCCGAACGGCCTCCTTCCTCTTATAAAGATACCGCTCACTGGATTAAGGCCCACGCTAGTGACTTTATGACCTCATCTTAATTTGATGACATCTTCCAAATAAGGTCACACTCACCAGTACCAGGGTCTGGATAGTAACATAGTCTTTTG